ATGATGCAGAGAAAATGATTGCTAATTGAGAGACGATGTTTTTTGGTTCATTTTTCATGTACATTCAGGGCAAGATAAAATTCCACTCAGTCTTCATGGCAAAATGTTTCTACAAGTTCAAATCTGTTTCAATTTGCTTTCTAGAAAAATGACTTAAATAAAGTTACATCAAAATTGTACAATGTACTACAATCCAGCCACTGCTGGTTTCCACCATCAAGTCAGTGTTATATATAACAAGAGGTCTAACGGCCTTGATGGTCACCTGAGATAAGCAATTTTGAATATGAATGTTAAAGGATAGTTATCAAATGTCATGAAACAGAAATTATGACACTGAATAAAGTAAGGCAGTGTCAATACATGCATACCATCAAAACTGTCTTCCTACACGGATAATTCTCACAAAGTTATTTCAAGTGGGAAATAATCAACATTATGCTCAAAAATACAATTTTTCTATGAAAATTACAGTAAAGTCTAAAAAAAAATATTCCTCCCCAGGAAGAAATGTGAGACTCATTTTGGTAATTAAAGCACCTTAAAAATGCTTCCATTCATGAGGAGTATTTGATTCTACCACATGTGGCTCTTGAGAAGAAGATTTTTGAAATCTGAGTCGATTTGAGCCCTTTTGGCCCCAACCCTCAAGCCCCTTAGGGTGGGGACTGTATAATTCACGATATTGGTTCATATTAGCGAGGCCAGGGAAGGTTTCTGCAAAATTTCATTGAAACTGGATTAAGGGTTTTTGAGATGAAGTTGAAAGTGTTAAATTGTTTACGGATACACAATGCCGGATGAATGGTTCAAGAGCTCAAAGTCACTTCTAAGGAATGCAGAGGGAGAACGATCAATTTCCTTGGATTTTAAAATTATATTTGATTCAAAGAATTTCAGGATTTCTAATTCATAAGCTAGAAATGGATTTTAACTGAAATTTTTTTTTTTTTAAAGCTAAGACTGATGTTGACAGCAATTTTTTTATTATATATAAGGACACAATTTTTTATGTAAGATCATAATTATGCTGCCTTCCAAATCTGTACTATACAATTTCATTTCACTTGATATGTCAAAGTGTAATAGAGAAGTAAAGTTTTCTCCAAATTGATCCCAGGTGGGACAACATAACACGCACATTATAGCATAAAGTTAGAAGAAAACCACATTATTTTGAAAATCACAAGAAAAAAGTCTTGGGCAGATAGATGGATAGAATGACAGCCAGATAAAACAGACAGACAGCATATGGGAACTCTAAGTGACACCAGTAACAATGGATAAATAATATTCATATACAGTACGAAACATCTACACATACTGTTAACAATATAAAGTATAAAATCACAGTATCACAGTCAATAAGATGGTGAGATTCCTCAACAAGACATTTCATAATAGTGTAAATAAGTATAGAATACAAAAAAAAAAAAAAAAAATCCTGGGATGGAGGGGTGAGGTTAAGGTAGAATAAATGACACATTATCCTAGGACAATTCAGTGTTAAGAAAATGAAAAATAACTTTGGTTTAATTTGAATGGGAAAGTCTGCCTAAGTCAATGACTTCTCCAATTAAAAGAAAATTCTAAAAATACAACAGTTTTACATAAGTAGTTATTAACTTAAAATCTTTGCTCTTTGTGAAATATTATGTACCTAATAAACTTTACTTCGTTCATGGTTCTTGTAGTGTCTTGATATACAGATATTTAAATTGTAAGTAAAACAACACACATTCAAAACTTCAGAGAGATGTTCATGATTCAGATGATGACGGAAATTACAAATGTCATTTTTCATGATAATGAAATACACAATCACATTTATTTCATTGCACAATACAACATTTGAGCCATGTGAATAAGGTTTTCTTACAAACTTGTTGTTTAACAATGAGAAAATAAACATCTACAAATAAAATTGTAAAAATCCATACTGTTTGGTAATATCTAGTCAGAGTTTGTTTTTTGAAAAAAAAGAAAACCTTTAAATTCAGTTACATATATACGATATCATTTCATTTGATGAACTTAATAAATTCTACTTCCAGAAAACAGAGGTCATAATTTGATAAAACATAATATTCATACATAAAGATGGTAAAGATAGTAATGAGGTCCACACACTCAATATGATTTATCAAAAGACAATATACACTGGCATACATCCAGAGAATTTTGAAATAAATCTACAAGAATCAACCTCATAGCACAAGTAATATAACGGTACACATATTCAGAAAAAAAAATCTGCTTAAAATTGTGATTTAACTAAATATATGTTATTTTGACAAATGAACATTTACAATCAAAATTCATCAGATTTATTTGTCTTTTTTAATTGAATTGTTGACTATCTATTTTTAATTCAAACCCATTAAACATGGATTTCATAATTTCTATCAAATAAACCTGACCAAACATAAAGTGATCAACCAATAAATCTGATAATATCTTAAGACTGTTCCAATTATTAGGGTGGTGTCAAACTGAAAACCCATTTCTACCATTTAATATTCACCTACAAAATATTTTCAAATGAAAATTACATACATGGCAAAGACAAAACAATGGATAAGCCTCATAAATGCCTAAAGGGCAAAGGTCAAATAAGGAGCATTAAACTTTACACTGTAAAAATTCAGAAACATTGAAATGCAGTGTTTCAGTTCACATATTATTGTAGAGATACACACTGTACATTTAAAAAGTGAGGCACATAGAAGAATTGTGTTTCAGACAAGTCCCAAAATGATTCATATAAACTGGTAGTTTTATGGAGGTGTGAAGATATTTTATTGTCTCTTTATTGATTTGCATTTCATACCAAAACAACAAATATTTTTCACAAATTCTCTGCTTTAGCTTGCCCGATGAAAGTCCAAGTTTATGAATTTGTTATGAAATGGAAATTGATAATATTCCTTTTTATTATTCTGTCTTTTTGTAATGCAGAATTATGTGATGTTACATGTTGCACAAACAAACATGTGACAAAACAACTGATACCTGCTCACAACAGCAGATAAGTTAGCATTAAGAAATGACGGAATACTATGTAGAAATCAATTTTTTGATGCACATTTTAATTCTGAAATCTATCTTCTCTTAAAAACTGACTTTGATAGAAGAAAATTTGGTCAATTCTTTTAAAAATTCTCTACATCTAGAACAAGTGTCCAGTTATTATAACAGATACAAAAAGTTTCTATTAGTAGGATTGATATGTTCAAAGTTAATTAAATACCAAACTTACAGGCATAGGTTTTGTCATGGTCCCTGATCTTACAAATATTGTCATATTTTTGATGAGTTTGATTACTAGATTATAAACCGGCTGCCCATTATGTAAATTGGCAAACACACTACACTGCAATCTACTAGTAAACCACAGCGTTGGGACCTTTTCCAACAAATGATCCTTCAGTTTTCAATCTCAGTTGATATCAAGTTACCTTTATTCCATACAGGTTCTCTGTACATGTAATGGTCACCTCTGGTAGTGTAAGTTGGAGGATGATTATACCCGAAAGATTCAGTAATCCTCTTCTGATTGTCGGGCAAAATCTGAAGTGTTTTACATACAATGTACAGTCAAACCTGTTTATAAAGGTCACTAAAGGGAGCAGAAAAATGACTCTTAAAGACATGTGGCCTTTATATAAGAGGTTGAATTACCATGATTAATTGTATTACACCATGAATAAAACATGTGACCTTTATACAGAGGTTAAATACCATTAATTTGATGGTATATATATCTAATTATATGCAAGCCAGGACTGCTAGCATCCTAAGACAAAGTTCATCTTACCTGAAATTTTACATTATAAAAAAATGGAACTTTCGAAAAAAAAAAAAAAAAAAAAACCCACACATACAATATTGAAAAAAGAAAACTGGTAGGTAGGCACTGTGTACGTAGATGATTAGTGTCTGAACCAATGTTCAGACCTAAATATGTATGATTATATAGCTTATTTCTTAATAGTTGTAAAAAGATTATAAATAAATTCATTGCTTAACATCTTTTTAACCATCAATAAGCAATTTAAATTCAAAGCTACCACACTCAGTTTGCCTCGTTATATGAAGCAAATTGCCAAACAACACAGTGACAAGTGGCATCATAGTTATTTCATGCATAACATTTTTGTATTCTTAGAAATAAAAGTTATAACCATACAGCAGTGGATATGTAAACCAAAAGATCTGGAGGACATTCTTCATGGATTGAAATTTGAAATAAACCGTCAGTAGTAAAGGACAGCATTAACAAAGAGTATTGATTTAATCAAAATGTGATGCTGCCTGAGAATATTTTTTTTTCTACTCTAACAGCACATTCATATTCTTAACTTTTTTCATCAATAATTATACACAAATATCACATTAATCATGCTATGAATTCAAATGAACAGTCCTTAACTTTTGACTCTGAATCAGGGCATGGGCTTGTTATTGGACGATGAATCAACATCATACATTGTACTGGAGGTAAAAATCTACACAGGATTTAATTGTGCTATATTCACAATCATTAAAGAAAGTGTGAAATCAAACACCCAGCAGACAATGAATTAATATTTCAGGAAATGTATAACCTGCTATACCAATGTATCCATGAAATTTAATTCCCATGAACAAGCCCATGCATGGTCAACCATGTATTTAAACATTTATATATAAAATGCTTTTTCTTGGAGGTTTCAATTTTTGATACTCTTAATCAACAAATTTCTATGTCCACAAAATAATAAACAAATAAAAACTGACATAGAATTTAGACTGAGTGGAAAGGTGAGCAAGATTTATACACATGATTAAGTACCAATGAAAATGTACATTTTTTTGTAAAACCTCAAAATTTGAGGCGCATCAATATATTCATATATTTTTTACTGTTTACAATAAATACTACAAGAGTATCATTGGCAATGGGCTTACTGCAGGACAAAAATGGTGATATTTGTAGTAATGTAGGTTAAACTGCTGATTTATTTAGCGATCTGGTGCTGTATGGACTCTTCATATGAAGGTGGTGGTCCCTGTTCTGGTCCCCAAAATAGAGTTGTGCTGCCATCCATGTTGATAGGGGGCGCTGTAGGCACTTGAGAACTATGGTTCAGAGATAGGTTAGAATTACTTCTGTGTTGTTGCTCACTACCTCCTTCTTCAATATTTGGCTGATGTTGACGATTAGGTGCTCTATAGTCCCGTCTCCGTGGCGTTTTCTTCTTTTGGTGACAGAAATAACAGATGATAAGGAGAGCAACACAGGCTACTCCACCAATAACAGCGAGGACAATTGCCCAGACCATGGTCACATTACCTCCAACTGTTAAACAAAGGAATAACAGTAAAACACTACTCAATCAATAACAACAACACCTAGACCATGGTCACATTACCTCCAACTGTAAATATAATATTTTCCTGATGAAAATAAAAGCAATTATATGTTACATTACTAAAAACTCAATTACACTGTTGAAACGTTTCGACAAAATGTTTATATCATTCTTTCAATAAAAAGGAAAAGTAAACAAAAGTTTTGATAACAATAGTCAAAACTTGAAATATTCAAAATGAAAAATAAGAGCAATCATTGTTATAAAAATAATGAAATTATTGACCTATGGTTCTTTGTATGTCATTATCTCAACCTTTGAAAAGTTGTGAAAAAATGAAGTGTAACCTATCCTTGTGAGGGGAATGGTCTGTTCGGCCATATACTGGGTATAAGAGCAGAGCTGATGTAGAAATATAGTGATCGGCTATGATAGAACTCAGGGTGTGGTAGGGCATAAAAAACTTTAGACCTTGAAGAATTCTAAAATCACTTCAATCATTTATAATGACCTGGTTTTAAGCAAATTTACCTAATTGTAACCTGATTCTGATGTGATAGTTTACAACCAATGTATGTATGGAGATCACCAGTATAATCTTGTCATCATTTTGTCACTATTTTCCAACTTGGTATACAAATGTTTACTGATCATTTGTCTGATGAAGGTGACAATGTTATCATCAAAATGCCACACATACCAGTTAATTTTCTATTAAACAAGAATTAATGAATATTTAAAAATTATGTATAATGCTATGTTGCTATTTTTGTCTTTTTCAGTTAACTTACCAGAGTCATCATCACTAGCCTCGGGAACAGAATACACTGTTGTTTGTCCAACTGTAAAAAATGATTATAACAACTTGAGTAAAACATATGTACATATATACCTATATATCTATCTAATCCAGATAGGTGACCAATTTATAGATTATTTCTGATATTTTCACAAGTGCAACACTAAAGTGAAAAAATGAAAAGAACCTAGCATATAATGTTTTTTCTTTATCTGGAAATAATTCAGCTGAATCATATTTTAATTATGTTTATCAAATTTCCCAGCTTTTAAAATGGATTTTATTTATTGTACAACTACTGTGTAGTTTTCTCCAATCATGGGACTAAATGTGTCACAAGCATCTAAGGTTTGTGTTGTAATTAGATTAGATTCCATCATAATAACTACCGTAGTTCTCAACTTACATAATTAAATTAATATACTCACTAATTAACAATAACACATCTGATGCTGTACCTGATATGTCCATTGAAACTAAATTGGTATATAGCAGTTTTTTATACTAAAAGTATAACTGACCTGTTATATTAGATTTCTTTTTCTAATTTCAATTTGTACATAAAGGTTTTCATATTTCAACACAGGATATACAAAAGAATAGTTTGTGGTTTAAAAATTGCTGTCATAAAACTTCTGCTAGTAATATTTGACCTACCTCTGGCTTTAGCACACAAGTAGTTCATTTTCTCATTTTCACAATTCTTTGCCACCCAATGCCTGAGGTTAAAATCATGGATGACACAGTCTTTTTCTTTGGACCCAGAAAATCTGTCCATTCTTGAAAATATATAAAAATAAAGCTATACATTAGGAAACAGAGGCCCAAACCTCAAAGATTTCCTTCGAAAGAGCTTGATAACAATAGTTCTGATAAACCTTAAAACATCAAATATCAAGATACAAAAGGTTCATTGTGAGCATTCGCATGGAGTTTCAAAACAGGCTTTAATATTTTTGTACCATTCAATATGTGAAATGTTTGGGTTTATGAAATGGACTTTTTTTGTTTGTGTTTTATTCAATATGTGAAATGTTTGGTTTTATGAAATGGACTTTATTTGTTTGTGTTTTATTCAATATGTGAACTGTTTGGTTTTATGAAATGGACTTTATTTGTTTGTGTATTATTCAATATGTGAAATGTTTGGTTTTATGAAACAGTCTTTATTGGTTTCATTATCAATCAATATGTTAAGTTGTAAATTTTCCCCTTGATCACCTTACTGACATTTGATAGTTATAACATTTTCTTTTGTTCAGGTTCTTTTGATTTCAAATGTGTTATTCATTAAGATTGCAGTCTTAAGTTTGACAAAGGGCTTTAACAGTAACACAACTGAAATAAGTGTAAAGTTTGGCCAAATTGATGAGAAACTTCAAAATGGCACATGACACACTGTCTTGCAATAATGTTTAAATTCTATCACATTTCCTTCAAATGTCTGCTACAATAAATAAGTTTAGCTTGGGACATACTATAAATCACCCCTCAAAGTATTATTTTGCCAGAATTCATGTTTGTTCTGCAACTGAAACCTAAGCCTTATGGTGAAGAGATGGGATTGAGAGTGACTAAAAATTAACAAAACAAACATACTTAAATCATAATTGAAACTTTCACTCCTTACAATTTCATCTGTAACTCAATAAACACTTTTCAGTAAGAGTGACATCATTATGGACTACAAATTAGAGAAAGGCTATTGAAAAATCATCATTATGGACTACAAATTAGAGAAAGGCTATTGAAAAATCAACGTTTTCACTCACTTTTCACTGAGGTAGGTTTCAGAGCCATCTAACCACTGGTAAGTTCCTTCTGTCCTCAAATCATTCAATCCAATCCAAATCTTCGATACCATGGCAATGTTTTCACCAAAGTCTGAAGCAAATATTTAACATCAAAATAACCATGGGGCCTCTTACCCTTTCAATGCTACCATTCATCTTATTTTGTAACAATTTTAGATTAAAAAGAAAAGATAAAACATCAACATCTAGACTCCCACCAATTTCCATCTATCACCAGGTTATCAGCTCATTTTCCAGCAGGCAGAATTTATATATAAACTCTGCCAATGAAACTGAACTCTAATGACACTACTGTGTTGTTATTACCACATGATAAATTTTAATTAAACCATGACTGAGCCTTAATTTTAACCTTAACTATGCAAATATTGATATGGTTATTCTGATAACGGCTAGCTAGCCGAAACATGTCAACCAACAAGAGGCCCAGAGGGCCTGTATCGCTCACCTGGATCTTTATGACCAACTGTACAATATCTGTGCATATGTTCAACAGTAGATGCTTAAAGCAATATGACAAATTACTCCATATGGGTTCTGTCCCTTAGTAGTCAGCCCCCTCATCTGTGCAATTTTGAATTGAGACTTTCTTATGATGTTTCCAGTTAAATGTAATTGATAGCTTTCTTTTAAATCAAGGAAAGAAGATGGTCAAACAATATAGCAGAAAAACTCTTAGTTATAGCTGGACGGAAGACCAAGGACAGCAGAAGCTTACTTGCCCTTTAGATCATTGTTTACAAACACAGATACAACATATTTGAGACTTGTACAAGTCAACAATATATAGCAACAATTAAATATAAAGACAGGAAAAATTAAGGTAGATGTAATTATAAACCACAACTCAAAACCAATAATAAAACGTTTCATACATATCTTTAGTGATGTCACCATGGTCAGTTAAGCCCCGGTTACTGGAGATATACTGATAACAGTTTACTGTATGCCTATAAACACTGCATAGCAAATGGGGTCAACTTAGAATATCCTATTTATTTATGCTATAATTATGAAGAATCTTAAATCAAAATGAAGCTCTTGCAATTCTCTTTCTGATCATGTTTTCTGTATTGTAATGCTGTGAATAGAACATAAGTAACTGGCTAACATGTAGTTTTTCACATTACTTTGTGCAATCCTCTCTGACCTCCAGGGGGCTTGGCCTAATCTATTTTTGGAACATTGTGACATCACAGTGAAAGTTCTTTATAATTTAGTCCAAATTATGTCAAGAAAATTCCCATCCAAATATATTCCTTTAATAAGTCATTGGAAGGTTCTACATATTTGTATATAAGCCTTAGAGAAACTTCTACTGGCCAAATATGATAGCCTTTGGTCAATCACAGGTGTTGTCAATGATTTTACCAAAGGGCCGGATTCCAAAACAGCCCCTTCTCTGATTCAAATTTCCTGTTGGTGGTGCATTGCCCATGCCCTTGTGGTCATAAATCTATAAAGTATAAAGATTTAGGTAACTTGGTTTGTTTTTTATGGCTCCTCAAAATTGTACCTTTCAGAAGCTGTCTAAGTGTTGATAAAATGTGCATGTTATATAAAATATTAATGAAAATCTAATCAAGTGATAGTCACCGTAAAGAATACATTCATGGCATGATTGTGACAAAAAATCATGTTTCCATCGTGCCATTTGGCTGTTTTATGGAAGAAACAATCTCAAAAATGCCATTTTCGATAATAACATTTTAGACACAAAAACTGTGTTTTTTAGAGAATACACCCTTTTATGGGCGTTGGATGCAAACCAATTTTTATCCTATTAAATAGTACGTAATATGCTATTGATGAGAGGAAAAATCATCAAAATGTAAGTGGTGGAACATTTTCAAATGTTGGGTTGAATTAGCCTATGGTTGAATTGCCGATTTTCGAATTTCTTTAGATAATTAACAAAAAAACGAGAGTATTTGCTCGGTATGTTGAGAATATGTACACAGATATGAAAAAAAGTGAGAGAAACACTTTTTCATAAAAATATCCAAGATGGCTACTTCACAAGTCCCCGTGGTTGAAGACATTGGCTGACAAATAGACAGAACAACAAACAAAACATGTTCCTTATGATTTTGGTTGGTTTTCGCATTTACGGGAGTGTTCATAGCTACGGGTGATTGTATAATACCTACATTTATAAGTTTGGTTAGTCACATGGTAACGGGGATCTTTCATATCGAGCCCCAAACATCGGGTGAAACGGTGAACTGTATCCAAACGTTATATTTCGTTTGGCTTTTGTGTCGAGAATGTATTTGACATCGGAGAAGGTCTGGGGAGTGCTGTTAAAGCCACACCTCATAATCTCCGTCATCACTTAAATGTTCGGCGATGTAATCAGGAGCCAGAGATATCTGATACGTTCCACACGTAATGGTTCTCAAGTAATCAAGATCGAGACGGGGAAACAGTACGGAAGATGCATCCATCTTGACAAACTCTGACCTTGCCCATCTAGATAGATCCGGATCTATCTTGACTCTCTGAGCTAAACCATTTGGTGTTGTCAAAAGGTCCTTCATACGTTCAGCCATTAGCCTATCTTTGGCATCTCTCTCTGGAGATCTCTGGTAGATCGGTCCTCTAATACCATTCAGACAGGCTGTGACGGTTCGAAGCAAAGCCTCAATGACATTGATAAAGCTGTTAGACACCAATTGCGTTCGGAAGAACGTCCAGTGTTTCTGACGACCATGATAGGATTCCACAATCCACCTCGATTTGGTGATAGTTCTGTCAAGATTTGCTTGGACGTCAGAATGTTGACTTTGACCGGGTTTCAGGTATGACGGCATGCTAGCATTGAGGCCAGAGGCTTCGAGAACTGGTAGGACATCTCTAAAACCTCGGTCAACGACAACGTTGTCGTCTGGTTGTAGCCAAGTAACTAGCTTGTCCATGACTTTTTTGTAATTGTAGCATCATTTTCGCTGCCAGTGAATGGTCCTACGGTGTCCAGAATGTAGCCATCTGGTAAGGCGATGCTCATGAATTTGTCATAGTTTCTCTTCTTCTGGCCACAGTAGGACATTCTCTGGAGCTTGTGGTCGGAGCTTTTCTGGATATAAATATAGGTGCAATCTAATATGGCAGTGGCTTTATCTCCAAAAAATGCTTCTGAAAAGACAGTATTGTGCCCAAGGAATTGTTCTCTTGTCAAGTGATCCGGACCTAGAAATTGTGGGACTATCGATGTGTCTAATGCCTGTACTATGGAGTGGAAAGTTTTGGACACACTTGACTTGGAAATTCCAAAAAGAGAAGAACACTGACTCTAGGAAATGTCAGTTTTCAGTTTTACCTAGAACAGTAATAGAGCATCGTGTGTAGTCTTGGTATATATACCAGATGAAAGATATGGGGAACAGTGCAAGTGGATTTCGAGGAACTGATCTTTGGACCAACCTGTCCAGGCCATGCATGCCGAGTCATCAAGAGAAGAAAAGCTTATTGTAAACGCAGACTGGTTCTGTGAAAGGACGTGCGACACCTCGAGGAGGTCATTAATGATTTCGGACGATTTTGATGGTAACTGAGATTCCAAGGAACCTCTACCATCAAGGACAACCTCTGTAGACGGATCTAAGTCGTTACCAATAAGGTGAATGGAGCAGACGCGGGATGAGGTGGGACACCACAGTTTGTGTGAATAGTTCAGGTGATGTCTTGCACGTTTTGGTAAGACTGATGATTTTGTTCCATTTTTCGGAAAGGTAATAAGACAAAGACAGCATTTTTTGTGTGAAGATGATACATTCAAAAGATCATGAAGGGTCAGCAACGGCAGTATATGGGACGGGGAGTCGTCTTCTTCCTCTATTTCCTGGTTCTGCTCGGGTTCAGGTTCAGGCTGATTTTTGTTCTGAAGAAACTTCATGTAGCACTTCTGGCAAATAAATGCTTGTTCCTTTGCTGACATCAATCCTTGTTGCACCAGCGTATCTAGGAGCCATTTATATTGTGGACTATTTACATTGCGTGCACTTCTGTTCTTATTGCCACTACATTTCTTGAAGTATACTTGACACTCTTCTCCAACACATTTACCCTCCATCTTGAAACAATAACGATTGGTTTATGAAGCGTTGATAAAGTAACAAAATAGCAAGCCACCGATGATTGCTGTAAATAGCTAATACTTAGTAGTTTGGTACAATTATGTGAAAATGTGTGATAAATAACGAACGACCAATTACACAAAATAACAAGACAATATAATAAATCACATTCAATACCTCCAAGAAGCGCAGAAGTGATTGATTACTTAGAACAAAATAAAGTATTTCATATGGATAATCTATCTATTCGATGTGGCGTGGTCGGCAGGCACAAAGAAAGTGAGACAAGTCAGGGTCCCAACCCTGACAGAGCCACAACGCTTTGGAGATGGGACAATAAAACAAGGAAATTGAGACAAGAATAGCTAGCATCGAGTGAATGATTTCGTAAACGTATAGACAAAGACCAGAAAATACGGATAAATGTACAAGGCCACACGCTCAGAAAATTCAGAAGAGGACAGCTTGAGATAGAACAGTATTCATGTATCAGGGTGTCCTCAGTGTAAATCTTTATATCGATACTATTTATTTAGTCGTTACACATCATAAAACTGTCATGAAAATATCCGCTCTGATATTCAATATAAAAGTTTGTATATAATAAGCTATATAATTGGGTTTCAGACAAGGTTGTTACTCATTTCCCCTTTTCTTTCAATTTACAACCACATTCAGGCGGCGATATGAGAACGTTCCACCACATGGAATTAGCTGATTTTTGGTACACATATGAAACAAGTAAAGCTCTATCTGATTTTCTGATGGAAATTTGCATCCAAAACTATATAACGGGAGAAAATTGCAAATCTATGGCATTTTTCTTCATCATTGTGTCTCTGCAAGTGCATTTTCATCCGAGAATATTTTTTTTTTATGTTTTATGAATAAACACGATGTTTTGGAAATATTTATCAAAAGAAATTTATACTATGTTGCGAATTACAATTTCGTGATAACCTTCTTTTATTTACGAACTTATGTCTTTGATGCTGAAATTGACAACTTTATAAAAATACATTTTCACTGAAATTATGAAATCTGGTTGTCGGAAAGGTGTAAAATTATTTTTCGGAAAAGAAAGTTGAGCTAGATAAGAAATTATACGGGGGCAGGCTCCTATGGAGAATTAACATTACTGGAAACAGGCCCTTTAACCCCAGTGACTTTAAATAATTTTTTTATAAATATTATGATTTTAGGCCTTTTGGTTAAACAGAAGTTGTTCAAAGGTTTAACACATTTGACCATTGTGACTTTGAATACCGGTATGGGTCTTTTCTCAAATATTATTGAGAACCTGATTTGGAATAATATCACTATCCTAGATATCTGGTTGGTCAGAAAAAGTCATTTTAAGGTTTTTAACACATTTGACATCTGTGACCTTGAATATGGGTCAAGGTGATCTCTTTTTGCAAACTTTCTTGGGCTTGATAAAAGGAACATACAGGCAAAATATAATGATTCTAGGCTTTTCGGTATTTCAGAAGGAATCGTTTAAATGTTTAAACACATTTGACCCCTGTGACCTTGAAGATTGGTCAAGGTCATTTCTTTTAGCAACTTTGTAGGACACCATTAGAGAAACATAGAAGCCTAATATAATGATTCTAGGCCTTCCAGTATTTGAAGAGAAATCATTTGAAAGTTCTAACATATTTGACCTCTGTGACCTTGAATATGGGTCAAGGTCACTTCTTTTTACAAACTTTGTTGGGCTTCATCAAAGGAATCTTCCAGCCAAATATAGTGCTTCTAGGCCTTCCAATATTTTGGATGAAGTCGTTTGAAGGTTTTAACACCTTTGACCTCTGTGACCTTGAATATAGGTCAAGTTTATTATTTTTTGCAAACTTTGTTGGGCTTCATCAAAGGAACCTTCCACTTATATATAATGATTCTAGGCTTTGCGGTATTTTGGAAGATGTTGTTTAAAGTTTTTAACACATTTGACCTCTGTGATCTTGAATATAGGTCAAGGTCATTTCTTTTTACAAATTTTGTTGCGCTTCATCAAAGGAACCTTCCAGCCTTATATAGTGATTCTAAGCCATCGGGTATTTTGGAAAATGTCATTTAAAGGTTTTAATACATTTCACCTCTGTGACCTTGAATATGGGTCAAGGTAATTTCTTTCAGCAACTTTGTAGGACAGCATTTAAGTAACATAGTAGCTTAATATAATGATTCTAGGCCTTCCAGTATTTGAGGAGAAATCGTTTAAAGGTTTTAACACATTTTACATCTGTGACCTTGAATACAAGTCAAGGTTATTTTTTTTGCAAACTTTGTTGGGCTTTACCAAAGGAACCTTCCAGTTATATATAATGATTCTAGGCCTTCTGGTATTTTGGAAGATGTTGTTTAAAGGTTTTGACACATTTCACCTCTGTGACCTTGAATATGAGTCAAGGTCATTTCTTTTTGAAAATTGTGTTGGGCTTTATTAAATAAACCTTCCAGCCAAATATAGTGATTCTAGGCCTTCTGGTATTTTGGGAGATGTCATTTAAAGGTTTTAATACATTTTACCTCTGTGACCTTGAATATAGTTCAATGTTACTTTTTTTTCGAAAAATGATTATTGGGCTTCATCAAAGGAACCTCACAGCCATATATAATGATTTACTGGTACATGATTTTGTATATGTATACTCCTCGTGTACTGGTACATGATTTTGTATGCTCCTCGTGTACTGGTACATGATTTTGTATACTCCTCGTGTACTGGTACATGATTTTGTATACTCACTGATACTCTCCTGGACCCAATTTGTACTGGTACATGATTTTGTATACTCCATATATCTGCTTTTGTACTGGTACATGATTTTGTATACTTCGTGTACTGGTACATGATTTTGTATACTCCTCGTGTACTGGTACATGATTTTGTATACTCCTGGTACATGATTTTGTATTGTACTGGTACATGATTTTGTATACTCGTGTACTGGTACATGATTTTGTATACTCCTCGTGTACTGGTACATGATTTTGTATACTCCTCGTGTACTGGTACATGATTTTGTATACTCTCGTGTACTGGTACATGATTTTGTACTGGTACATGATTTTGTATACTCCTCGTGTACTGGTACATGATTTTGTATACGTGTACTGGTACTCGTGTACTGGTACATGATTTTTGATACTCCTCGTGTACTGGTACATGATTTTGTATACTCCTCGTGTACTGGTACATGATTTTGTATACTCCTCGTGTACTGGTACATGATTTTTATATACTCCTCGTGTACTGGTACATGATTTTGTATACTCCTCGTGTACTGGTACATGATTTTGTATACTCCTCGTGTACTGGTACATGATTTTGTATACTCCTCGTGTACTGGTACATGATTTTGTATACTCCTCGTGTACTGGTACATGATTTTGTATACTCCTCGTGTACTGGTACATGATTTTGTATACTCCTCGTGTACTGGTACATGATTTTGTATACTCCTCGTGTACTGGTACATGATTTTGTATACTCCTTTTTCGTGTACTGGTACATGATTTTGTATACTCCTCGTGTACTGGTACATGATTTTGTATACTCCTCGTGTACTGGTACATGATTTTGTATACTCCTCGTGTACTGGTACATGATTTTGTATACTCCTCGTGTACTGGTACATGATTTTGTATACTCCTCGTGTACTGGTACATGATTTTGTATACTCCTCGTGTACTGGTACATGATTTTGTATACTCCTTTTTCGTGTACTGGTACATGATTTTGTATACTCCTCGTGTACTGGTACATGATTTTGTATACTCCTCGTGTACTGGTACATGATTTTGTATACTCCTTTTTCGTGTACTGGTACATGATTTTGTATACTCCTCGTGTACTGGTACATGATTTTGTATACTCCTCGTGTACTGGTACATACATGATTTTGATTTTGTATACTCCTCGTGTACTGGTACATGATTTTGTATACTCCTCGTGTACTGGTACATGATTTTGTATACTCCTCGTGTACTGGTACATGATTTTGTATACTCCTCGTGTACTGGTACATGATTTTGTATACTCCTCGTGTACTGGTACATGATTTTGTATACTCCTCGTGTACTGGTACATGATTTTGTATACTCCTCGTGTACTGGTACATGATTTTGTATACTCCTCGTGTACTGGTACATGATTTTGTATACTCCTCGTGTACTGGTACATGATTTTGTATACTCCTTTTTCGTGTACTGGTACATGATTTTGTATACTCCTTTTTCGTGTACTGGTACATGATTTTGTATACTCATGTACTGGTATATGATTTTGTATACTCCTCGTGTACTGGTACATGATTTTGTATACTCCTCGTGTACTGGTACATGATTTTGTATACTCCTCGTGTACTGGTACATGATTTTGTATACTCCTCGTGTACTGGTACATGATTTTGTATACTCCTCGTGTACTGGTACATGATTTTGTATACTCCTTTTTCGTGTACTGGTACATGATTTTGTATACTCCTCGTGTACTGGTACATGATTTTGTATACTCCTCGTGTACTGGTACATGATTTTGTATACTCATGTACTGGTATATGATTTTGTATACTCCTCGTGTACTGGTACATGATTTTGTATACTCCTCGTGTACTGGTACATGATTTTGTATACTCCTCGTGTACTGGTACATGATTTTTTATACTCCTCGTGTACTGGTACATGATTTTGTATACTCCTCTCCTTTTTCGTGTTCTTGTAGATGATTTTGTATACTCGTGTACTGGTACATGATTTTGTATACTCCTCGTGTACTGGTACATGATTTTGTATACTCCTCGTGTACTGGTACATGATTTTGTATACTCCTCGTGTACTGGTACATGATTTTGTATACATGATATACGTGTACTGGTACATGATTTTGTATACCACTTTTCATGTCAACAAGTTAAAAAAACCCAGATATTTTGCCATCCTTGAATCTCCAGGAGTTACGATCACTTTCGCTCTTTGTTCCCTTGGAACATGTCTTGGGGAAATTGCAGGCACAAGTGAAGTAATCTTATTGGTTCCAGGAGAAAAAAAACTGACCAATCACAGACTGATATGCTCTTTTTGAAGATTACAAAGGAGAGACACCCAACTTCAAAGCCATAACAATATACTGATACATGACCTCGAGATTCTTTTGATATACATCAAAGAATCAAATTAGTATTTTCGTCTTGCCACAAGGAGTCACACATGGAACCTTAAAATTTAGCAATGACATGTTCCAGGGATGCTGAGAGTGAAAAGTTATCATATACATTATCTCTGGAGGATTGAGGATGATACTTTGCTAGGTATATATAGAGAGTTTAGAAGATCATTATGAAATTTTATGACAATTTATATTACATGTAGCACTTGTGAATCTTCTAACTTCACCTTGACATAAACGCTTTAAGTAAAATTGCATTTAGAATTTTTTTATGAATATTGGCTTTCATAATGTAGCTTTCTTTACCTATAAAAACTAAACTTTGAGGTTTATAGACTCAACTCATATCATTGAAAAATCACTTTAAATTCTAATTATTCAGAATTAGAATTAACTTACCATATATTTCGAAATCAAGAGTGACCCCAGCGTGCTCGTAGAAGTTTTTATCGTTGGATGTGAAGTAAAGGTAAAAATACTGACCACTGCTGAGCAACTGGTACGGGTTGGTACTATAACAGATATCTAGTAATAATTTAGCAGATTTGGTCTGACCTAGAATCACAAAAAAAAAAAAAAAAAGAACAAAGACAAAGTATAAAGGAATCCTATGACAAAGGCAAGAGTTGATATAATATCATTTCATGATGGTAGACGTAAGTGTGAAATTTTTGTATTTGTTATTCTTAATGTTGTTGAGTTTTGTTGATACATGTATTACGTTAATCAAGGATTTAACCTTATGCATCATATACAATTGAGAGACACATAAATCTACAACATTACAGTAGATTTTTCTGGTGAGTCCAGAGCACCATCTGTAAGATTTTGATAAGCCCACAGTTACCGAGAGATATAGACAAATGATGCAAGTCTCACTGGAAAAGCTTGAGTCCAGGAGTCAAGTTATTGAGTCCCAAAAATCACTGTAATAAAGTGACACAAAAAGGGCCACAAGGATATAAACATATATGAATAATGTCAATTTATATTGTCCTTGTTAACTCTATACAATATACTGACCATCTCTGATCGACAGGTGGTCGTATCCACTACACAATGCATAGGAGGCTGCCCATTGAAGATCAAGATTTGATACCGTCAGTTTGATTCGTTTGCCAACACCTGCATCAATGATCCAGCCACAGCCCAGATTATCACTGTAGTGACTTTCCCCAATCTGACGGGTAATGATGCTGCCTTTGTTCTGTTCTGATATCCTCCTGATGTTGCCATTACTACAGAAAAAGGTCACTTTGCTTTTGCCTATTAAAACAAACAATAAAACAAATCATCAATCAGCATTAAATGGAGAACACATTGAATGAAGAACACATTGAATGGAGAACACATTGAATGGAGAACACATTAAATGGAAAACACATTAAATGGAGAACACGTTGAATGGAGAACACATTGAATGGAGAACACATTAAATGGAGAACACGTTGAATGGAGAACAAATTAAATGGAAAACACATTGAATGGAAAACACATTGAATGGAGAACACATTAAATGGTGAACACATTGATTGGAGAACACATTAAATGGAGAACACATTGAATGGAGAACACATTGAATGGAGAACACATTAAATGGTGAACACATTGATTGGAGAACACATTAAATGGAGAACACATTGAATGGAGAACACATTGAATGGAGAACACATTAAATGGTGAACACATTGATTGGAGAACACATTGAATGGAGAACACATTGAATGGAGAACACATTAAATGGTGAACACATTGAATGGAGAACACATTAAATGACAGTAAAGTCTGTATAATCAAGTCTTTTTGTCACTTCAAATTTCTTTTTTCTCTTCTTCAAAAAATTACTTTTTTTGTAGGCACTTGATTTCCAAGGTAATTGGTACATGGAAATTAACTAAAACATACTAAGTATCATGCATGAATGCACACTGCAGATTAGGTATCATTGACAGTTAGTAAGCAGATTACAGGTCTATTCCCCTGGGTTTGTATAACCATCATGACAGGAAATAACAAACTTATTGACATCAATATGTAATGAACTTATTTAGGGCATTTAAGCATAAGTATGAATTAAGCAGTTAAACTGGTTGATCCGGTTGAACCTACAAGAACAAGGCCAGGTACAGATAGGGACCAAGGCTGGATTGTGGAATATTTGGCACAAGCAAGTTAATTTCAGCTGTACATGTCCGAAATTATCTTGCTGATTATCATCAGTGTAGTCATATATTTCTGGGAGCTATAAAGTATGATTGAAATGGATGGTATCTTGATTCTAGTTAATTGTATTATGTTTGACAGGAAATTCTGAAACTGTATTTTAAGCTTTACATATATCAGGTCCAACATCCGGTACATGTGCGTTCATGTGTAGTGGTAATATTCAGACCATATGAATTGTTTCAACCGGTTACACAAATACAGACTTTGTGTTTGGCACTCATCATATTTTGTAAATCAGTGTATACGTATGCATGTACATTGTATATGTATAGTGATAACAATGTTGTCATGCTCTGGTGAATCATATAGCTGATATGATTATTAACAAGAGATCCCAGAGGAATCTTGGCACCCACCATTGTTTGATCTATATACACTGTGGAAGTTGGATGTTTTCCTTTATTTCTTGTCTCTGTTTTTGCTCTTAATAATAAGACATTTGAACATTCCTTTGCAGAAATAGCGATGATAATCGTAGCTGCCAAATCCAAAATGGTCACCTGGAACCCATATTGTTTATTCTGATCAGTCATAAGAAAACAAACGAGCACAAGGAGAGACCAAAGGGAACGTGTGAACTTTGAGATATATCCATTCAGTACTTCTTAAGAAATAGCAATAACATTCTTTATTGGCAAAATTCAAGATGGTTGCCTGTCAGCTATTTTGTTTTGCTTGGCAGTCGCAGACTCAAACAGGCACAACTAAGGACCTAAAGGAACCAGAAATTTGAGAAAGATCTACATAGTAGTTCACAAGAAATAGTGATAACAAACTTTCAAAGTTAAAATAAAAGATGGCTGTCTCTCAGAACAAAAATCAAACTGGCACAACCAGGGACCAAGGGGAACCCAATATGAAATATAAGAAAGATCCATTAAGTTCTTCTCAAGAAACAGCAATGACAAACCATTAAGTTCAAACCCAAAATCAAATGGGCACTACATATGAAAGTTTAAAAGAAATAGTGATAGCAACCTTTCAAAGGTCAAATACAAGATGGCAACCTGTCAGCCATTTTGTTTTTTAATCCAACCCAAAATCAAATGGGTACAACTAGGGACCAAAAGGAAGCTAAATATGGAATTAGCGATTACAAACTTTCAAAATCAGCCATTTTGTTTTTCTGATCAGTCTCAAAATACGATGGGCACAACTAGAGACCAAGGGGAACCTACATATGAAATTTGAGAGTGATCCATTGGTTACTTTTCAAGAAATAGCAATAACAATCTTCACTGAAAAAATCCAAGATGGCTACCTGTTGGCCATATTATTTTTTTGATCAGTCACAAAATCAAACAGGCACAACTAGAGACCAAGTGGAACCTACATATTCAATTTAAGAAAGTTCCATCCAGTACTTTTCAAGAAATAGCAATAACAAAAATTGTTTACAGACATACAGACCACGGATGCAGAGCGATTTGAATAGCCCAATGATGATGGTGGGCTAAAAGTTCACATTTATCTCATAGTATATATATACCATAATTACAATATTAACACTGAGTACTTAAAAATCTAGTCTCACAAAAAAACGCAACAAACATTTCTAACACTCAAAATAATACTGACATTTAGTACACATGTTTTCATCTAAGAGGACATGGCTGTCAAGTTTTCAAAAGTTTATATTTAATCTACAGGTGACCGGGAAGTTGGAGAAATCAAATGTTAATATTAGTGGACTTTACAATAATCACTGATACCTAGAATGAAATTGTTGTATAATTACTCACCAGGAACAACAAAGGCAAGAAAGGCTAGTGTCAAGAAAACAACATTCTGCAATTCCAGACAGATTCTGTAATAAAATAAAGTTTCAAATAAAAACAAGCAAATAAAGACAAGAGGCACACAGGCCTTAATGGTAATCTGACTACAAAAACTTTCAGCAGGGATAAGGGTTATTTTTTTTTCCTATGAATGAAATCTTACTAAGAAGCACTGTTTTTCCATGATGCAGATTGTTAATTTTGGTGAGGAGTAGGTAACTGTAACCAATGTAACCTATTTGTTGACAGTGAAGCTGGAGCTCAATCCAACTGATGAAACTTGAGAAGTCTGAAATAGTTGTTGCACAGGAAAACCATAATTGCATGCACAATCATGTTACAAAGCCGCCTCCTCGACTGTGACAAGGTCAAAAAATAACAACACTTTGTTGGCTACCTTTCCTTAACATTCCCAACAATTTTTTAGCTCAATGGCACCAGTGTAACTGGAGAAGAAGTCAAAAATACGTTATTCAAGATGGCAGCCAATTTAGATTTCAGATATACCCGAAATATAACAACACTTGGTCAGGACCATCTCAGGATCATTTCCAATACCCTTAAATCTTTATTTACTGTAAATTGATACGAGATTCACAAGGGAACTTAGGACCTACCATTGTTTCATCTTCATTTGTTCTTTAAAAGTTGTCTCTTTTCCACCATTTTTATTGTCTCCTCTTATTTGCTCCTAATGATTTGAAATTTGAGAATTCCTCTCCAGAAATAGCAACAACGAACTATCAAATACAAGATGGTCACTTGCTTAATGGACCAAGAAATCTAGATATAAAATTTGTGAAAGATTCATCCAGTGCTTCTAATGAAATAGTGATTTGAACTTTCGATGACAAAATCTTAGGTGACCCAATGCCATCAGGTGTTTTGTTTCTCTGATCTGACTGACTATTGAATTGAAACAACTGAGAACAGAGAGGAACCTACATATGAAATTTGTTACAGATCCATCCAATAATTTCAAATAAATAGTAATAACAATCCTTTGTTGTCAAAATCCAAGATGGCAATCTGTCAACCATTTTTATTTTACTAACAGACTCAAAATTGCATTGTAAAAGGGCAAAACAAGAGACCAAGGAAAGCCTCCATATGAAATTTGAGACAGATCCATCCAGCACTTTCCAAGAAATAGTTATAACAATATTTCATTGCTAATACAAGAAGACCACCTATCAGCCATTTTGTTTTTCTGATCAGTCCCGAAATTACATCGGCACAACTAGACACCAAGGGGTACCTACCAGGTACATATGAAATATGAAAAAGATCCATGCAATATTTCTCAATCCAAAGCGATAACAAACTTAGTGTCAAAATCAAAGATGGCCACCTGTTGGCCATGTTGTTTAAATTCAGTTCTATACAAAAATTGTCAAGTACTTCCCAAGAAATAGCGATAATCACTATTTGTCATCAAAATCCATTTATCGAAGGTGGCTGGCTGCCTGTCAGACATTTTTTTCTGATCAGACTTGAAATCAAAAGGGAACAACTAGGGAGAAAAAAAATGTGAAATTTGAGAATAAACATTCAGAGTCATAATCCAAGATGACCACCAGGCAGCCATTTTGCTTTCAGATTAGTCTGAAAACTAGAAACCAAGGGGAACCTACATATGAAATTTGAAAATATCCATGATGTGCTTCTTCAGAAAAAGCAATAACTGATGTGGACATTGATGTTGGTAGGCTAATCAAAATTCATGACAACAGAATTGGGTACTAGAGTGTGTACAGGCAGGGACGTATAATACGTCCCTGGTACAGGTATAAATTTCAGTTCAGACAAAAATCAAAGTGAAAGTTTTGTCTGAAAAGGACAACATCAAAATATAACTATTTTTCTTCTTCCTTTATTCTGTGTTATAAAGATGTGGTACACTTATTTCTTAAGGGTGTGGCCATGGGTGATATTTTTGTTCATAAGTTTACCCCATTATAAAGGTTTTAATTAAATTTAAAAAAAATACATCCTTGATAAAGTTGGTCTTGTCATGTTGAAGCGGACAATGTGGGGTTTTATTTTTTCAGATTAAAATTTTAGCTTTTTGTCTCGTATCTATGTCTACACACCAAAATCTAGCTTTACAGGCAGTTAAAATTTTCACAGTGTTTACACGTCATGACTCATGTTGTGAATGGTTTCAGAGTTGGAATCTGCTGAAATGTAAGTAGTTCGTTACCATGCCAGTGTTGTTGACTTAAAGACAGGTGTTCAGAAATTAATTTCTTCCATAAATTTGTTGTATTAGGTTCGAATTATCAGTATTTTTGCATTCTTCGCATCTTTTGAGTTGGTAACCATGGCAATCACATGTCGGAAATCAGAGGAAATTTTTGATTCACACAAATATTACCTCTCTTCTATTAATGTAATTAATATGTAGTTTATATATATATACATTTAAGGTCGTATTTTTCATAACCAAACTGCTATACCTGTATATCTCAGTAATTTCAGGGAAATTGCAAATTAACCATTTTCAACTACCATACGTCAGTCTACGAGTGTGAATCATTTCGAAATGGAAGAAAATTAACCCGAAACAGATATTTAATATTTGGATATTTACTATTCTTCATGTGGTTGATTTGTTTTAAACTTACCCATTCATAATTTGTTCCTGTATCAGTAGTTTTTCGTATACTTCGTCTCTTTTCCGGGTATTTCGCAAACTCTGTTTTGAAATTGATCTTTTTTCACAGAAGAGTTCCCCGAGTTGGAACTCTCCAAACGGAGGAACGATTGTAAAGCGGGAAATGCTTTTGGCGGGAATAAGTTTTGCCTTTTTAAACGAGTATTTCAGCCAAAACAGAAATACTGCCATTTTTCACACCCGTCAAGATTGTAGCGGAATACTATGGTATGGCCTTTACAATGCTTTTACCAAATTTTACATCGATTATAAACGGTGAAATCTCTGCTATTATAAAAGTCTGTATGACGCCCTATCGCATAAAATGGTTTAAATTAAAAAAAAAAATCATTTCCTTAAATACATTTTGTAGAAATGATTTGACAGAAGAGTTATTTGTCGGGTCTAAGTTTGCTCTTGTTTAAATACATTACAATTTGTATCCAAAGCCAAATTTCGTCACCAAACACTCAAAGAAGAAATAACAGTTTCACAGTGTTAACCGCATTTCATATAATTTGAGCGACTAAATTTGTAATCTGGTACTTTTCTGACATCATCTGTAAGTGACAAATCGACATTGGGGACTGGAACTGAGAACGACCGTGAGCCAACATTTACATCTTGAGCATTCCATGTTAATGTAGAAGGTAGAAAGGAATTGTTAGAAATGGAGTGTCGGATGTCAGGGATTCTGTAGTGACCATTACAGATTGTTATCCCCTAGATAATAATAGATTTGTCAAATAAGTCTGATGACGGTTCGAGTTGAATTATGATTGAAATTCTTCTGTGAAATTTCTGCATATAAACATCCATTCTATGACGGCAAACCATTAAGATATCCTCATAAGTTAGGATTTGTTGGGAGAAAACTGTACTAAATAATTTACATATGTTCTGATGGAAATCATACACCTCGATTTACCATTTAGATAACGTTGATATCTAGTTTGTGTAGATTCTTTTATAGCGTCATAACAGATTTGCGTTATATAAGCCGAACAGAATAAAATATTTGTGAAAATTATAAAATCAACAGAAAATCAGCTAATGAAGTAATACAATTAATATGAAGTAGACACTGCCTAAAAACGAGCGCAAGTTGGCCAAGAAGATGCACATTTTGAACAGCCTGATCCATGTTTGCACTGAAGCGTGTTTTTTTTTTTTTTAATTTGTTGTATATTTCGCAAGATTTGAACAAAACATCGACACATATAAATGTACCAACATATCATCATCAGCAGCAGCAGCAACACATCGTCTTCTAGAAAATATTGTAACACCATGATCAGGCGGTGATTTTGTGGCACAGTTGTAACACACTTGTCTATCACCTAGCCATTCGGGGTTCGATTCCCCGAAGGGATACAGGTTTCCTCCCAAAGTTAGACCCCTCTCTTGCTTACAACAAGTGTGATTTTTATAAGTTGAAATAACAAAGTTTCCATATGTAAGTAAGTCATGCACATACAATCATACACCATGAAGGCAGACAAAGAACAAAACAAAAGACGACAAGATAACGCAAAATGTGACACTTTCCCTTCGCGAAGCTGTTTAAAAGAAAAACACACTTGTAACCCCACCGTGCCCCCGCTCGCGTTGTGTTTCCCGAAGAAAAAGCCAAGTCCAAATTCCTTTCTACTTGTTGTTTATATAGCACAGTGAAGTCCACAAGAAGGCTCGCTCCCTATCACGCTTCCGTAGAGTCAGTCCCACAACCGGAAGTTGTCCCTTTGGCATCCCTAGATCCAAGTGCAATGAGCAGCGAAAACTGCCCAGTATTTATAGGGGAAGCCAAAAGTCGGACAACTCCGCAGGTGGAAATTCCTCAAGAACAATGGTTGATCCTGGCGACCCAACCATATCAAGATTTTGTCAAAATTATACCGATTTGGACACAAAATGCAGAATCTTGGCGCCATTTGTTATTGTGTATGGGATAAGTGCTGATGGATTGGGGATGCACATTTAGTGCAACGACCGTTGATTGGTCCATTCCCCAATCCCAGGAAGCTATTGTCTGGAATGACAATTGGTACTACCAGTCTTCAGACCCACCGCATATTGGTCACTATTTACATATATAATAATCAAATACTTAACAATTACGCAGAACCTAACATCTGCTAAATCGGTCATGTTTACCTTACATACTCATAATGCTGTACTAAGCAACTATATACAATTCACTATCTAAACTATTATTTTCTCATGACCTTGAAATATTTTACGTTATCATTATACAATCATCGTTACTCTGACTGTACTGCACTGTTTATATATACACATCACATGTGTTTATATGAATTCTGGCTACCATTGTTTACATAAGTCCCTACTTGCCTATGCAGTGCTGGACAGGTAAAGGTCATATTTGGTGCAAAATAATATGTACATATTAAAAACTCAATTCCTGTTATAAGCTAAATTAAACAACAATAAATTCATGAAAATTATTATTTTCATATTTTAAATTTCCAACCAACATTATATACAATAAAATACTGCTTCCTGTTCATATAACCATTTCCGGTTTAACAACAGAGTGATCTACTTGATAGTGTCACATCCCTCCCATACACAAAAGAAATATAGGCGGTTCTAAACTACTGACTATATTTCTCAACAATTTTTAACAATATCAAGGTGAAATTTTGGCGCTGTTCTTTAATACGGACTTTTACCTTTACTTTCTTACAGCTTTCACACGCCAATCTTTCGCATGCTACATGCAAGTATTATTTTAACTATCTACTTGAACTAACAAATTATTTATATGTTTATAAATCCCTAACAACGGTTATAAATCCCTAACAACGGTTATAATTCACTGTCACTTAATAATATATATACTGAGAATTATTCGAAAGTCACTCAATCTGTCCTAATAGTCATCTCACTGTGACCCTCACATCAGTTCATGGAGATATCCCATATAATAATATAGTTCCTTTAGAAACCATCACATTTCGTCTGGAAAGTTGCACCGCATTTCCCGTCTTAAAATGTTCATAAGAATCACGAAATGTTCATAAGAATCCCATCTTCTGTTCTTCCACAGTTAGTATAACAGATACAGAAGTATACATGTGTTGTAGTCAGTCTTGTTAAATTCACGTGACTTTATCCTTAATTATCCTTATTGTCACGAAGGACATGCCAAAGGGACTAGTTCCCGTCCAGTTCCTTTCTTATATCAGGATAAAGATCCTGTATCACTGTCTTCCTGGTGGATACCAGAGGGTTATTTTTTACTGTTTTTACCTCCTCTGCTACTCCACCTGATGATGAGGGGTTTGCACCGCCCTCAACGTTGTCGTCGTTGTCAGGTTCACCTGACATCACCTGTAAGTCTTCCCGGTTCCCATTTAAGTTGAGTTGAGGTGGGAAGATTGTCAATTCTTTTAAACACAATTCAGCAAGTCGTCTGTCGAAAATCGAATCCGGTCTAGGGAAGTCTACTTCAGAAGTGCTGTGGCGATGTAAGCGTGGTACCATTGTAACCTTAGATTGCCTTGGTAAATCTTGTGGTACATCAGGCTCTCGACGAGGCAAATAAGGCATTGGTAAAGAACTCAACTCCAAATCTCCCTTAACAACTGACCTTTTACTATACCTACTATTCCTATAATTTTGACATTTATCTTTTATTTTATGCCGAAAGCAATATCCTATCACTAAGAAAGCAATGACTACACTTCCAATTATGAGGTATGTTTGGATAGAATTATCTGATTCCATAGGAACCAATTTGTGCATATTATCTAGTTCCGAATTCAAATGATCAATAGGAATTTCTTTTATAGACTTCAACTTTGGAGGGATTTTGATTGAAGCTATATTTGGAAATTTCTGAGAAAATGGCTTCCATAGTTTAATTGATCCCATAAAGTAATTGTGTATTAAGGCGTTAAAGTCATTAGACAAGTTAAAAGTACTTTCATAATGATGAAAGGATGGTAAGGTCATGAACTCATTTGAGGCAGAGCAGCCCTCATTTAAGCTTATAATATCAATGGGACTTTTCGTGCTAAGGCTGTCTAAAGAGGAAGTAACAGGACCTTTTAGATGAAAGGTCAATGATTTTTCTGAAACAACTACCCAGTGTCCATCAGACAAGTGTTGGGCTTGAGGAGTTGAAGTTCTAGCTTGCACCACTGTGGTACAGTACTTATCCATATCTTTAATCCATCTCATAAAAAGATATATTATACACATTTCATTTGACACTGAAGTATATATTGGATTACGAAATCTGCAGTATTTCTTGACGCTACCTCCAAGAGATAAGATAACAAATTGTGTCTTGGCTTCATTCACCGCCAAGGCTTCTAATCTATAAGAGGCCAAAAGATTTGTTTGGTTTGTTTCCAAATAAGGTAATAAAAGACTGTGTGCTCTATACACAGTGAATTTATCTGATATATCAATCAAAGGAATGGCAATGACTACCATTAAGTCGTCCTGTCCAATCAGGGTTGTACAAGTCACAGTCTTATAAAATGTCCAAAGGTCTACGTCAGGGTCGAAAGGAATTTGCATATTCATACTTAGCTTACTTTTAACATCAATTAGTAATTTCCTTAGGTCAGGGGGTGCAATAACAGTTGGCGAGAGATGTCCAAGAGACAACATATTAATTTGAAGCTTCAAGTGGTTTAAGTAATCTCTAGCTAAACCAACTATTTCCTTAGCTTCACTTAAGGCTCTATCTATCTTTGTATACGTATGTAAGTATTTGTCAATATCTTGAACTGAATGACTAAGATTCATCTCTAACTTCGCTAGATCAGTTAAAGTATCTATTACTTCATTAATATTCTTTCTGTTATTTGCTATTTGGCCTTGGGCAGTATGAAGGATAGTTAAACTTTCCTTAACAACATGTTGAAGGTGTACCTGATTATTTCTTAAGGTCCTAACATTAGTTTTGATTGTATCAATATCATCTTCATCTAATGTACCAAAAAGGAAGGACAGTGCCTTACCTACAATTGGAATCAACGCTCTTTTAGTTCGAGTCTG